GTAAATATTATTAATCGAATAAATTTAACGTCCAATTTGAAGTTACGAAGATTACCCAAGCCAAAAATAAAATAATGATTTCCTAATTTACGCGGGATTAATTTCATTATAGATATCTACATGGGAATCTAAGTGTACAATGTAGTGTTAATTTTTGGCGAAGGCCAAAAGTAAAACGAAATAGGACCAAGAAAGAGAGATTAGGCAATAAAATGGAGAGAGAATTTAGAAGGGAATCACGTGTCGGCGCATAATTTATAATTTTACCTCCAGTGAGAGTATTTTCGCGGTGGTACTATAGTGATATTGATTTAAAATCGGTCTACATACGGTTATAAAGCGACTGTGCGTACTAAAATCGGATCAGCCAAAAAAAAAAAACATACATATATAATATACAATCATATAAATGCAAAACAATCCAGAATCCCTTTATTTTTTCTAGTCCTATTCGACCCTTTTTCAGTTCGATATATTTATTACGCATATTTCATATTAATATTTCTAAATGTACACATGCACGTGAAATGAGTAATTTTTAGTAAATGTATTTTTACAAAAATCTAATGAAACCTGTACTCTAATAACTTTGGTAAAACAAGTTATTTAAATTTGATATTTAAAAGCTTAATTCTTACTGCTTTCTAGCTGAAGCACTAACATTTTAATTTGTTAAATTAGACACTGCCGCGTTATCAACTCGACCACACCGCCTCTCATAAAGGGTTGTTTAATAAATGATAACATTTTAGTTAATAAGTCAACACTATATTATAAATATATATTTCATAACTAATGAGTGCTATGCATCTTAGAGCACGTGTGTATTATTATTTTTTGTTTAATTTATTAGATATACCGTGTAAAAAAGTAGGAGCACGTCAAAATATCAAATCATCGACAAATGATTTGAACGTTACTAGTAAATGAAAGTTTCCATTTATTACTTTTGGCATCAGATACATAGCGTATCTGTATTGTATAATCATATTTGTTTATAAATAGTGTATGTATACCATTTTTAAAAAAATATTTGACAGTTATTTGTTGGACAAGTTCATTTATCGGCTAAGAAACAATTGTTAGTTCGAATGAATAAAAATATTAAACGTAATCGCTCAGGTATTATTCATATATTTATTACTGATCATTTCAATGAACTAAAAGATTCGTTGGGAAGTATCAATTCAGTAGCCACATTAATTATGATGATTCTAATTTTACTGACAACTCAATAAAAATAAAAGTAATCATACATCGTGATGGCAAACATCCTGAACGAATAATTGACCAAACGTTGTGTGTCATTAATATATAGCGGCACTGCATCAAGTGAATTACTGCCAATATATTTAGTATACTGCGCAGATCATTACTATGATACGTGACCTACAACGCTGAAAAAGAAACAAGGTTAAATAGATCATTTTATTAAGTACTCATTTGATCATGCAAGATTTAATGATTACAATTTTTTATTGTTTTGCACTATATTAATTAGTTAAGTGATCAAAGAAACAAAGTTATGATAGGGGATAACTTAACGAGTTTTTTTTACAGTTTTTAAGAGTTTCTAAGAAAATAACATAATATCTATTTCACTTCCATTCAACAGCACTGTATTACCGAACTCTTAAACTCTTTTTTTCATCATCAGTGGAAAATTTTTTTATCAAACTGGACAAAAAAATATTCTGCACATATATCAAAAACTCAATTTATTCGACTAGCAAAAGAAATCAAAGATAAACTAAGAAAAAAATTAGAAATAAAACTTTAAGCGGGATATGAAACTTGTGATATATTTCCATCTAATCCATCAAAAGTATTGAAATAAACTTCGAGTTTAATCACTAATAACTTGCATGGTTAAGGATATTTGAAGGTTTATTGGAAAATCAGAAAACAATTAAGCAAATGTGACATTAATTAATATTAATAGATTGATTTGTTGACATTAAGAATTTATAAATTGTTTATTTGTGATAAATTTGAAACATTAACGCTGAAAGTTTCTTTAAGTTATGACATGTTTATAATACACAACTAGAATACAAAGAGCACAAGTCAATGTATGTGTTATTTTGGTTTAACTGAAATTACTTTAAAATTGTCTACATAATTTCAATCTAAGATTTGACTTAAACTCAATGGAAATATCATAAATAATATGTCACATAACGCAATTTATATCGAAAGTCACAACTTTTAAGTCAATTATCTTAAAATGGCATTTTTTGTGTTATTCCCATTGTATCATAGAGATATAATTAATTTATGCCAGTTGAAAATCTAGTTGATTGTCAAAATAAGTTTTATTCATTCATCTGAATATTGTAATTTATGCTTAAGATATTATTAATGCGTGTCGGACTTACAATTTAATTATTTTATTAATTAGGTTTTGTTATAAAACATTTATTAGTTTAGCTTCGATAAGTACCTGAGAAGCTACTAGTTTCACTTTGCCATTTTTGATTGTTAGTGTCACTGTACACGATTACTTCACTTCCACTCGATCGACTTTGCTCAACGACATATCAAATGATAACAAAACGTATCTAACTGGAGTTATCAGCACCATAATTTTGAAAAATTCCCTTCAGTCCTCGGGATTTAAAAGTTAAAAAACTTAAAAGCTGCCCCAAGTCATGTCAGTTGACGGTACTTAGTTTGCCCAGTCATATTTCGTTAAAGTTATCAAGTTATAATATTTTATTTAAATCCTTTATTATTTCATTGTTTCTTCGATTCCTAGTAATTAAAAACATGAACACATTTTTTTACAACACAGTCAACAGAATAAATGAACAAAAGTAACTTCTAGACTGAACTTGACATTTTATTGCGTACAGTGCACAATTGAATCTGATTATTTACACTGAACGAATAGATGAGATTTTTCTTCTGCCTGTTCTTTTGTTTAATATCCTTTATTCATGAAATCGTTATTCCTCGTTTGCCGATCGACGTCGTACCAATCCGGATATTAAGCAAACGTAGTCAAATAATAAAAGACACAGAAACGACATTATTTTAATATATTTAACGTTTAATCAGAAATCTATTTAACTACAAGAAGTAACAAACCTAATCAATTTCATCTATAATCTTAAGTAGATTTATAGTTATAAAGTATATTGGAATGGTGTTTTTAAGTTTTTTTTTGATAAAAGCGACTAAATCTTACTGTTTCGTTCAGCATTCGTCTTGAATAAACAAACGGTTAATTATAAAAAAGTATTTAATTATTTACTTAATTTAAAGAGTTTACAAATAAGATCAATCCAATTTGTTAATTAAATTGCAAACTATTTGTACATTTAAGCTTTTGAAAATAATATCTCCAATCATCGTTCTTAGTATTTTTGTATTTATAAATTACCTATAGACTAATAGCCTGGATTTAAAAAAAAATCAAATAACTTTTTTTTGTACTATACATATTTTTATTTGCGAATATTTTTGTGTAAAACAGGTTAATTTTTTTCCAATATCGATTATGTTTCTGTGGTTATTTGTGCCCAGTAAAAAATAAATATTGACATGTTATAATTTGAAATATTTCGGGTACCCTTGAAACAAGTGGGTATGAATTATAATTGAACTACCGGTTAAAATCTAGCCCCGGATGTTAAGCATTGATTGGCATATACTTTTTGTGCACAAAAAGTTCAATGTGTCAGTGCTGTTGGAAATATTAGAATCGTGTATTTTTTTACCTCTGTTTAGGCCGTAGCAAAAACATTATACGATTCATTATTCCACTTGCAAGCGCTGATCAATCACGCCCAACGTTTATTTACTTTGGCGTTATCATCTCAATATGGTCCAGAAAGAGATTATAATTAAAATGTAGTCGGTAACAAGGTCGGTGTGTACCTAAAAAGCGACAAATGACAACGGGAGGTGTAGTTAGAGTAATAATATATACATTACCCCGCGGCCTGCGGTGACCCATACGCATAAATGAAAAGAGAATGTGTCGGGACTGTCAAACTCAAGAGAGAAATGATCGTTTTTATTATGATAAACGAAAACTGCACGTCCCTTCCAATATTGTCCCAACAACCGTCCGGACGTCAAGCCCGTTATGAAATATCCACCGAATTACTTGTCAACGTATTGTTGCGTTACAATAGCTGACCATAAACAATAACTACCGCTGTAGTTGGAATAACTTTATTACAACGTTATTACCTGCTAGTTTAATACGACTGCGAACAGTAAAGCGTAAAAGTAATAATAGTTTTTACATAAAATGCGCGGCCAGTATTTTCTAGTAACGGACGAGTCTAGTTTGCGCGTAAATATATTGTTACGTGACACCACATCCATTCATTACTAGGAAAATAATTTTCTTGAGCTAAATAAACAAAAACTACAGCCATTTTCGCAATATCATTTCGATTATACAAAAAGTAATCTTCAGTTCGATCGCTGTTCTCGACATTTAACGACACGTCAAGAAATCGTGTACTGCATAATATTTATCAAATATTATTCAATAAATTAGCGATTATACGTGTTTTTGCGCATTTCGGGTCGCACGTGTGTTTCGCTAGAACATCTGCGACGAAACTTTCGACGAATATTTATTTATTTCTATTACACTGTGCGGCCGACAGGGTAGAGGTACGCCGTTTCGATAACGAAGCCGTCTGCCTTATTCGTGCCAATTAAAACCCAGTTGATTGTCGATAAACTTCCAGGTGCAATAATAATTAAGCACTCGCGTTACTTTATCAATGACCTTAGCTGCATTACATTTGAACGAGCGCACTTGGCTAGCGAGTAGTCTATTACAAACGAAAGTCACGGGCCGTCAACAGGTGAAACGACAAACTTTTCGTGCGACGCTTTTAAAACGGAACTTGTTTTGACAATTAAAACAGAACGTTGCGGTACATTGAACAAGTGTGATTTATTTTTTAACAATTGCACAAAAATGTCGTTTTGCAATACTAGTCAAATAACATGCCGCCTTTCTTTTATTATAGGTATGCGTCGGAAATCCATAGAGGTACTGAAACTAGGCGGTATAAAAAACATCGGTTCCATTGGAAGAAAAGTGAAATGGTACTAAGGTGATACTGTTGGTCCGCCATGATCAGACTGATGCTTTTCAAAAAAACCGCCTTCTATTGGCTGTGCTTTCTACTTACGTTGTTTTACACGCATCCTACTAATGCCAGTAAGTAATTATGGTAACGTACTATTGATATTAGTTTATTCATATAGACAATAAAACTCGTTCAAGTTCGAAGGTTTCCACCAATATCATATCAGATTTTTTCATGTCAAATTTTCTCTCTCTTGATTTTGGTATGGTTCAATAGCATGGCAGTTAAAAGGTAGATTTAAAATCAACTTCAAAATCTTATGATGAATCGAAAAAATGTGTAATTAAACTTACTAGTTATGAGTTTGATGAATGAATTAAATTGGCTTCAACGTGCACATCAGAACATTATTGCAACTCGAATAAAGAAAACGTCGGTATAACTATGCCGAAAAATATTCTTTTTTGATTTTCTCATTAAGTATGAATTCTAGAGAGTTGATAAATAGCTGAATAGAAAAATATTTTTAAGTAGATGCTTAATCTAAATTTGAAAATTTTAAAAAATCAGATTATTTTTTAACAGTTATAAAAATGACAGAATTTTCTTTGCTATCGCGTTCCCCAAAAAATAGCGAACGAATTTAGCTAGTAAAATTGTAGATTAAGATGTTCAAAACACCATTTTTTTTATAGCTCAATCACCAAAGAGCTTTAAAGTTGATACAATTCATAAAAACTAAGTTTCCACAATTTTCAAACAAATCTTTTATTTTTGAATTTAAATTTTAACTGTTTTACTATAAAAAACATGAAGTATTATAATTTGATATTAGAAACATTATAGAAATTATAGAACATTAATAGAAATATTTGATATTAGTAATAGTGTCAGGTTTCCTTGATTGTCGTATTTTAAATGATATGTTTAGATTTTTTACTCCCAGTTATGAAAATTAGGATAAATTTTCATCGCAAAAGATATTTTTTTCAAACAAATATTAGACTAGAAAATTTTACAACTAAAAATTAAATATTAGATTGGTTAATTATAATCTTAGAATAACTTAAAATTGAAGCATAAATATACTTATATAAATTACCAAAAAGTAAAATGATTATATAAATATTAAATTAAAATTTTAAGTTAAATTTTTATTACATAAAATATTGCTACTATTTTAGATTAATTTTTCAAAAGTATTCAATCTTTATTAGTAAGTAGAGTAACTAAACTAATTATAGTTAATCTTTATTTTGCTTGTTGATTTTATCATTGACTAAGAAAGGCTTATATCGTAAACACGATGAAGGAACGTTGAGTACATAATCGAAAATATTTTTATTATAAAGAAGTATAAATATATAAGTATATATATATAAGCATAATGCTACGATGTAAATCTTATAACTGATTATATACAATTAGTATACTTAATATTAAACTAAAGTTATATTTGATGATAGTTGAGTAGTTGAAAGATGAATACAATAAAACCTCGTGACTAACATGTCATTTTACCGTATTTAGATGATATGACTTCAAAAGAGATTGTTGTTGGCCGTACCTAGTAAACTAATATGATTTTACAAAGGTAAAATAAATAAATACACTAAATTTGTGGTTAAAATAATTACCAGAAACGCAGAGATTCCACAACATTTTCAAAAATAAAATAGCAAAGAGTTTTTTTAGCAAAAATTGCGTTTTTTTTTTGCTTTGGTGACAAATTTTTCTTAGAAGGGAGGACGTGAGGAATTATTATTTTTTTTTATCATTAAGAAAATTTCAAGCGCTCTAATTTTTATAGATCTAATGAAACAGTTTCAAAAATTGAGACAAAAAATATTATGTATATAATTGGGTGCCTATATTAAGGTTTTCATTATATTTTCATTATAAATATCACACAAAAGAAAGCATATTGCCTTTTCTATACACTGCTAAAATTTATAAAAATTCAGTTTTCATAAAAAAAATTTCACAATTTTAAAATGCTTCTACATAAATAGTGTTTTTTGTCGTTTTTAAAGATGAATAAATTTTGAGATATTTTTCTAAATTTCGAAAATTGAGGGGTTTTTTAATTTTTGAAAGTGATATCTTTACTACGGTAAATGTTGGTTTTTTTAGACGTATAGAAATTTCTTGGACAGTGACAAAAATAAAAATTCAATTTTTACTTGATATTAATATTATTATAGTTATAATATGTATGACAATTAAATTTATACATGGTTATTTTGTTAAACTAATATATTTTTTACTAGTAATAGACTAATAATTAGTCGCAAAAAACTAAAATTAAAATTATTATACACTCTTCTTTTGTGATAGAATTTTATTTGACATAAACCATTTACTCAGAACTGTAATTACTTAAAAACATTTTAGCGTTTAAATGTACTTAAAGTTTGGAGCATAAACATATTTACTTAATTTTAAAACATTTGGTGAATGTTAAAATAATCGGTGCGTTAGTTTCTTCATTCTAAAAATACACAAAAATAACAACAATACTAACATCTTACTCGGGAGAAAAGTGTATTAAAACCAGTAAAGCTATATAAAAAGGAGCCTTTTTTAGTATATATCATTAACGTTTTCCTTAATTAATATTATATTTCATTTTTAATGGAAAGAAAGGATCTTGGTAATTAAAAGTGGCTTTTAACGTTTGGTGGTTATAAATATGTACTATAATAAATATATTATATCAAATAAATTATTTCAAAGGCCGGAAACACTCAACGGGATACGGGCTACGTCATTTATGTCAGTAGGATGTCCGTTACAAAAGGCACATGATATTATAAATGACGGGATTTAATTTTGGCACGCCCATCTCACCTTTCATTATGCTAATGTTCAAACGCCTTGGTAGTCATAAAAGAAAAGAACGGGAGAGGAAAGCTGAAAAAGCTTAATGAAAAACATTTTGAAGAAAAAAAAGACAAAAATTAAACGAGTTGCATGTCAATAATGAGGCACGGCGAGTCAGATAGGCAAAACAGGTACGCACTCGTTATGTGGAAATATTTTTATGACTTTGTTACATTTGATATCGCAGAATGATAGTTTCATCAATAATCGACAACTTCCGGTCAAGGGATATTTCAATATTGTTTTTGAAGTAAATATAAGACTAAGATTTCAAAATAATTTTTAGTTTCAAAAAAATATTTATAAAATATAAATATGTGTACTGGTTAAAATAAGTAATTTAGAGTTTAATTATCCACAGATTTATCAGCTTTTTGAATTGATGAAAAATTGAAAAATCTAAGTTTTTTCATTCATAAAAATTTTAATATAAATTAATAAAATTAAAATAATAAATTAAGAACCCGCGAAAGCTTTGTGTTGTTACTTTTTATATTCATCTATGTATTTTAAAAATAATTTTGATTTAAAATGGATATTGTTTTGAGCTTATCAAGTTTTTGCATTTTCTTTGAAAACAGTAACGGGTAATAGCTATCATTGAAAATATCGAAAGGGTTATTAAGACTTTTGACTTTTTAAAGTAGAATTTTCAGAGTCCATTATCCTGCCATCACAAAAATGGTTACAAACTCGATTGTTCACTTTATCGGAAAATCATTATAAGTACTTTTTGTATAGACTGTAAGGAAGGACTGTTATCCGCTTTGAAGCCGTAAAAACACAGCTTTTCTTCTTTATTATTATGACTTTTTTCCCGTAACAAAAAAGAAACCGTTACGTTTAGTTAACGGTATCGTTTTGATCGGAGACCAGTCGTGTGGAAAACAGTCCTTTTTTCGCTTCTTTTTATTTCTGCACTACATCCACTCGCTAGCTATTCTTGGTCTTTTCGTTCATTTCTTTTGAATTTACCCTTCGATCTTCCCATAAGAGAAGACGTCGCACAGCTGGGCCCTGGAGACGTTCGCACGAGGGGACGCTGTTGCCGAAACAACAGGCACGACCACACGAAAGTGTATCGATCGGTCAGAGTTCAAACGGGGAGACATGTCTGAACTTTTGGTTAATAAAAAGTTGTCAATCTGGGCAAGATGACCACTAAATGAAATTAATATACTCACACGGGTGATCGATCAATCAAATTCGAATAGTCTCGTCTGCCGCGACCATAACTCGGTTTCTGTAGCGCCGCGTATGCTTTTCGACTAAATTCATTAAGTGGAAATCGCTATAAAAACTGCGGTTGGCTAGAGGACGGGAAATGCGATTACCTCAGTACTTACGACACGCGTTCTATTAAGACCAAAACTCCTTGAGCGTGAAATAAGCCAGCATGATGGTGTAGTTGCTTCCTTAACGGTCAAAGTAACAATTACTACTACTCAGCCACAAAAACTTTGTCTACAAATGAAAAGTTTTCGATTGACCTGACACAACCAAGAGAGACATCAAAAACTGCAACCGCTTTTCTTTTGCTACACAAAACAGACCCACAATATTTACATTGGGAAAATAAAACGAGATCAATAAAATGTAACGCGACCTTTCTACCGACACTGCTGAACAGAAACGGAATCATAACTGAATGGTGTTTTTATATCACGTAGTCCATAATTGTTAAGAGTTAAATTAATTGTATTTTTTATATTTATTGTCAAACTTAAAACCACCTGAGACTAGTTCAAAGCAAAATCAGAATACAGTAAAATATTCTCATTGTATAGTACTAAATATTATAATTGTCTTTTTATTATTGCGCCCAAGTTAATGTTGTGGTATTTCATTTTGGAGTCTCGCCAAAAATACTGACAATTCGGATGATCACAATCTAGTAAACACTCTAATATTATAAGCCAATAAAGGTTTATAAAGTTTCATAGCTCATGATTTTATGATATTTGCATTTTCCTAAATAACTCGTGTTTACTAAAACATGTATATGAGTATGACGTTTGCACATAACAAAAATGTCATTTGTAATTAATGTTAAATGTATAAACAATAAAAGAGAATATTATTACAAAAGAACATGTACCAACCTTTTACAATAAATTATTTACATTAAATCCAAAGGGAATATCAAACAAAAAATAGATCTAAAAAGTAACCGTAAGCCATCTGTTTAAATATTAAATACGCTTCATATCAGAACCAGAAACTCTGTGAGCATTTATATTTGATGTAT